TTTAAACTTTGTCCCTAATAATAATAATAGCAAATTCCCCTCATTTGTGTGATATTAAATCTACGTTGAAAACGTTTGCTTAGTCTGTCTCACAGTCCCTGAACCACATTATTTCCCTACTGCCATGCCCTATCTGCAGTGCTGGAAACCCTTAATATAGCAAGTGTAGATTTCCCTCACTTTCTGAATATCTGGTGTCCTTAGGGCTCCTTTCAATTTAAACAGGCTTTGTTTGTTACTATCAAAATTATATATATATTCAGAGACTAAGCATTAGTCTAAGCTGTGTGAACACTCGAGTCGGCAAACTCATACCACTCATAAGATAATTGAATAATAATCACAGCCTACTAAGGTGAACCTGAAGGTCACACACACCTGGGCCGGAAGGGGACTCCCTGAAGGAGGGTGGGTCACACAAAGGTCACACCTATGTGACGTCATAAAACAAAATGGCGGATATTCTGTTCAACCCACCCCCTTACAACACGTATATTTTGCACAAGGTGTCCATAGGTTCTGCCAGGATCTTATCACCAGGTGTTCATGAGTTCTGCCAGGATTGTATTACCAGGTGTTCATAGGTTCTGCCAGGATTGTATCACCAGGTGTTCATAGGTTCTTCCAGGATTGTATAACCAGGTGTTCATGTGAGTTCTGTCAGGATTGTATTATGAGGAGTTCATAGGTTCTGCCAGGATTGTATAACCAGGTGTTCATGAGTTCTGTCAGGATTGTATTACGAGGTGTGCATGAGTTCTGTCAGGATTGTATTACGAGGTGTGCATGAGTTCTGTCAGGATGGTATTACGAGGTGTTCTTATAGGTTCTGCCAGGATTGTAGCACCAGGTGTATTACGAGGTGTGCATGCGTTCTGTCAGGATTGTATTACGAGGTGTGCATGCGTTCTGTCAGGATTGTATTACGGGGTGTGCATGCGTTCTGTCAGGATTGTATTACGAGGTGTGCATGCGTTCTGTCAGGATTGTGAGTTAAAAACTTACAACATTACTGCCATGATTATGAAACAAGGTTTTATGTATTACGTCATTACAATAATCTAAGGTGTCCATATGTTTGTTATCAAC